TCGTGGTCTACATCTTCGCGCTGCTGATCTTCCAGGCGTACAGCGACGGCTTCTCCTACGAGGACGACCCGGAGGGCACGGGCGGCTCCTTCCCGGAGGACTGCCGGAGCCTGCTGCGGTGCATGGCCGTGACGATGATGTACGGGCTGCGGCTCTCCGGCGGCATCGGCGACATCATGAAGCACACGTGGTCCACGCGGCTCTGGATCGACTTCATGTACTTCCTCGTCGTGCTCATCGTGCTGCTGAACGTGATCTTCGGCATCATCATCGACACGTTCTCCGACCTGCGCGGCCAGAAGGGCGACCGCGTCTTCAAGACGATCCACTCGTGCTTCATCTGCGGCGTCGACGACATGTCGTTCGACCGCGCGTCGCCGGAGCCCGGCGGCTTCCGGCGCCACATCCGCGAGGACCACCGCATGTGGGACTACCTCAACTTCATCATCTTCATCTGGGAGCAGGACAAGGACGAGGACGACGGCTTGGAGCTCTACGTGCGCCAGAACATCGAGATGAAGGACATCACGTGGCTGCCCGTTGGCCGCGCGATGTGCCTCGACGACTCGAACGACGACGACGACGACAACGTGACGGCCCGCGTCGCCGCGCTGTCCGAGAAGATCGACACCTGCGTCGAGGCGAGCCAGGCGCAGATCATGAAGTCCGTCGAGACGTCCAGCGAGCACCTCCGCAAGTTCGTCGAGGCGAACCAGAAGAAGCTCGAGAAGCGCGTCGAGACGCTCGACGACAGGATCGCCGCGGCGGCGCGGGGCGACGGCCCGTCGAGCGCCGGGTCCCAGCGGTCCTTCCGCGCGCCGCCGGCCGAGACGCCGCCGCGCGGCCGCGACGCGGCGCCGCCGGACCCGAAGCGGCCCATCGACCGCAAGTCGCCGGCGCCGAAGGCGCGCGGGGCCGCGCCCCTCCAGTCGCCCCTGCGGAGCGACGTGCCCCTCGACGGCTCCGTGGACGTGCTCACGGTCGAGGTCCACGGCGCGTCGGACCTCGTCGAGGCGCACCTCCTCGGCAGCGGCGACCCCTACGTCTTCGCGCGGGCGCTGAGCGACGGCGTCGCCTTTGGCGAGACGGAGCGCATCTGGATGTCGCCGACGCCGGCCTGGCCCCGGGCGACGTCCGCGCTCCGCCTCGCGCACCCGACCATCGGCGGCGCGGTCACCGTCGAGCTCTGGCACTGCCACCGCCGGGGCACGGGCTACTTCCTGGGCCACGTGTCCCTCGAGATCGACCCGACGACCATCGAGGGCAAGCACGACCTCAAGCTCCAGAAGAAGGCCGGGGCCAAGGCCCAGACCTACGTCCAGGGGAACATCTCCCTCTCCTGCGCGCTGGCCTTCGCGGAGCAGCGCGCCTAAATTCCTTTGTTAGCACGGGAACCGCGTCGACAGGGGCCGCGCGCCCGTCGGCAGGTGGCCCTTGTTCCCGTCGTCGAGGGCCAGGATCCGCGGGTCGCACGCGAGGCCGCACTCGGAGACGCCGTCGTCGAAGGACCGCGCGGCGCGGAGCGCGCCGTCGAGGGCGGCGCGGAACTCGTTCGCGTCGACGGGGATGGCGTCGGACGTGCCCTTGCAGGACACCTGGCCCGTGGACCGCATCGGCAGGTAGAGCGCGCCGACCATGCGCGCCGCGAGCCGGAAGTGGCGGTCGAGCCGGTAGGACGGGTGGATCTCTAAAAGCACGGCCTCGTCCGCGAGGAAGATGACGTGCATGAGGCCCGCGCCGTGGGCGCCCACGAGCACGTTCGTCGACCGCATCTTCCGGATCTGGTCCTCGAAGGTCAGGCTCCCGAGGTCGACGACCTCGGACGTCATCGCGTTGCCCTGCTTCAGGACCGCCGCGAGCGCCGCCTCGTCGGCGAAGACGCGGCCCGTGTTCTTGCCGCCCGTGCGCCGCCGGACGCTGAGCACGACGTGGGGCACCTTCGGCGGCGCGACGTCCAGCAGCCCGAAGCCGTCGAGCACCGCGTTCCGGTAGCCGAGCCAGAGGCTCGACCGCTGGCACTTCATGATGCCCTTGGGGCCCCCGACCTTGGGGAAGACGATGCCCGCGGGCGACTCGAGGTGGAAGACGAGCGTCTCGAACTGGACGCGGGCGCCGCCGTAGTCCGCGGCGCGCCTCAGCGGGCCCCGGCGGCTGAACGCCTTCTCGACGAGCGACGTGTAGGCGAAGTTCGGCATGCGGTCGAAGAGCACGGCCTGCCAGTCGGACCGGTCCGAGCCCAGGATCCGGGACACGACGTACGCGTTCAAAAAGTCCGCGGCCGAGTGGAACATGTTCTCGCAGTCCTCGTCGCGCGCCATCAGGTAGGTCGTCCCCGGCTCGCGCCGCGCGCCGGCGGCGCTCTTGCCGAAGCCCATGCGCCGCAGCATGGGCGCCGCGTGGGGCATGAACGCGTCGCGCCAGTGCTCCGTTTTCTCGCACGAGCCCGAGACCGCGTCGGCGCCGAAGGAGTGGTACATGGCCGCGCCGCGCGGGGGCTTCGCGCCGGCCGTGCCGCCCTGGACCTTGGAGAAGTCCACGACGAGGTTCTCGCCGACGCAGAACTGGCCCGTGTGGCCGTGCGTCTCGTACCGGTGCGAGTAGCAGACGAGCGACGCGTCGCCGCCGCCGCAGAACGTCTTCGCGGACGCCCGGTAGCTCTCGACGAGGCCGTCGCCGAACTTGCGGTCGCAGTCGCGCTCGAAGCTCGTGAGCTGGCGCGACGGGCGCGCGGGCGCCGCGGGCGCCGCGGCGGCGCGCGGCGGCGGCGGCGCCGCGGCCGCGGCCTCGCAGCGCGTCGCGGCCTCCCGCGCCACCGCCGCGTCGGCGCGGTAGCGGTCGACGTCTTCGTGCGCCGTCGCGAGCTCCGCGTGCGCCGCGTCGAGCTCCGCGACGGCGACCTCGCGCTCCGCGTCGACGGCCTCGGCGGTCTCGCGCGCCGCGGACCGCGCGCCGCCGCGGACCGCCCGCTCGTGCGCGAGCTTCGCCGCGAGGAGGTGGATCGTCGTGTTCTGCTCGTGGATCAGCGACCGCAGCGGCTCGAAGGCGCGGGAGTCGTGGGCCTTCGGCGGCGGCGGCGGCGCGCGGTTCGAGGCGCTGAGGCCGCAGAGCGTCACGATGGCGAGCACGGCGATGAGCACGCGCTCGAGCGCCGTGAGCGACGACTTCGCATCCTTCCGGCTCTCGAGCGGCTCCGCGGGGTCCTCGACGCTGCCCGATTTTGCGCTCTTGCGCTGCATCGCGCCAACCCAAGCAAGGCAGCCCGTGATTACGCGCTTCGAGTTGAAGTTCAAGTAAAGGCCCGGCACTCGTTAAGGCACTCGACCCCGCCGCACTTCCGCACTCCCACGGCCGAAATTAGCAGGTCCCCGTGCCGCAGAGGTCGCCGGCGGCGTCGCCGACGTCCTTCTCCGGCGTCCAGTCGCCCATGGGCGGGGAGATGAGCTGGACGGCGACGCCGTTGGGCGCGACGACGTACATGTTGACGTCGGCGTCGTCGGACCGCTCGGCCTCGTCCGTGAAGTGGTACTTGAGCCCCGCGGCGTCGCAGCGGGCCATGAAGTCTTTGACGGAGATGCCCGTGCCGGAGACGGCGTAGTGGAAGTCGAGCCAGGTGTCGAAGCCGCAGTACGCGTCGACGAGCGTCGCGTCGTGCGCGGCGTTGAGCACGTCCTCGAAGTCGCGGACCGAAAAGGCCTCGCCGGCCACCTCGGGCCGGTAGGTGAGGTGGACCTGGACCGCGGCGAAGGGCGCGTCGGAGTTGGGCGCCGTCACGTAGACGCGCGTCAAATCGTCGCCGCGGACGAACTCGTCGATCTGCGTCATGCCGAGCACGTCCGTCTGGAACGCGTGGGACCGCTCGAGGTCGGAGACGAAGTGGCTGACGGCCGCCGCCTGGACGTACTCGCTGTCGTCCCAGGCGAAGACGTCGCCGGGCGCCGCGCCGGCCTCGAACGCGAACCGCGGCGCGCGCGAAACCTCGTAGCCCGACGCGAGCGTCCGGAGCTCCGCGGCGTCGAAGTTCTCGGAGAAGAACTCCAACACACCCGCGGACCGGCCGACCTGGAAGACCACGGACGCGTAGTCGGTGCCGCCCGACGACCAGGTCAGCGCGAGGAAGGGCTTGCCCGCGGCCGCCAATTTGGCGACGTGCGGCCGGAGATCGTACGCGTAGAGCCGCGTGCCGAAGTCCATGAAGCGGTCGTAGGTTTTGAAGCCGTCGTAGCGCTTCGCGAACTCGTCCTCGACGGCTTTCACGTCCAGCCCGAAACCGTGGGGCCGCCCCGTGGCCTCGACGTGGTGCAGGCCGTAGCCGCTGAGCGCGGCCGACGACGACTCGAGCGCGACGCGCCCGAGGACGCCGCAGGTGCACGTGCACGCCAGGTCCGCGGGCAACGCCGCCGCGCCCTTGCCGGGCACGAAGCCCGCGACCATGGGGCCGCGCTCGCAGGACACCTCGAAGCCGTCGCCGTACTTGGCGCAGCCGTCGTCGGCCCAGGGCGTCTGCGACGACGGCACGAGCGCGATGAGGTCCCGGAGCGCCCACTGGGCGTCGCTCGACGACACCGTCGTCTTCTGGATGCCCGGCGGCTGCACGTCGGCCATCCCCGCCCCGGCGGCGTCCGCGGACGCCGCGGCGAGGTCGCTGAAGCGCGCCGCGCGCCGCAGGGACACCACGGAGGCGCCGAACATGCCGCAGGCGACGAGGCCCACGCGCGCGAGCTCGAAGACGCCCCGCTTCACCGACGGCGCCGGCGCCGAGCCGTCGACGGTGGCGCCGTACGACATCGTGGCGAAAGAGACTTCTTTTATCGGCGCGAGGCCCGACGCACGATCGAAGCGCGGGAAATCACTGCAACCAATCCTACTTTCGGAGAGAACCCGGATATTGAGTTTTTTTACTTGTTTTTTTTTGCATGGCGCCCGACTTGCGCCCCGAGTCCCTCGCGAAGCCGCGACGACGTCCGAAGCGACGTCGCGTACCGCAGCCCCACGACCCGCCCTTAGCCGAGGTGCTTCGCGACGGCGGGGTCGCTCGCCCAGGGCGCCAGGGGCGCCGTCGCCTGGTTTTCGCGGTCCCGCTTCGCCCTGGCCCGCGCTTCGAGCTTCTTGCGGTGCTCCTCGACGGGGTCGGGCCACCAGTCGGGCCAGATGGACGGCGCCTTGGGCGCCCAGGACGTGTCGTTGCGCGCGCGCTCGTCCGCGACGCGCGCCGCCGAGAGGCCGAACATGGTCCAGACGTCCGTGCCGTCCATGACCTCGACGACCTTGCGGTTCGGCGCCTTGCAGCACTGTCGGCTCCGCTTGTAGTAGCCGCCGCAGTCGCAGTCGCCCGGCCAGCACTCCGCGAGCGCCGCGGACATCGTCGGCTCGTAGGGCACCGTGTAGATGCGCGCCTGGACGGCCAACACGGCCGCCGCGCCGCTCAACAGGCTGTGGGCGACGAAGAGGTGCTCCGCGGTGACAAAGTTGTGGAACGTCTCGTAGGGGTCGCCGCCGAGGTGGAACGCGACGCCGTCGACGGCGCCGAGCTCGCCAAAGTCGCCGACGTGTCCCTCGCTGTAGACGCAGATCTTCGCGCCCGGGTCGGCGCGCAGGATGGACCGCGCGAGGCACGCGTAGGAGCCGTTGCCGATGACGCCCGCGTGGCCCGGCCGCGACCCGTGGTCGCCGCGGCGCACGTGGATCCGGTACGCGCAGTCGTGCTCTTCGAGGCCCGCCTTCCCCGCGCCGGCGTCGTACATGGCCCGCAGCTCCCTGCGGACGTCCGGGTCCCGGAGGAAGTACCACTTGACCTCCATGGGCTTGGGGAACTGCGGCACGACCAAATTGGCCGGCCGCTGCCGGCCGCTCGGCGAGTGGTCCGCGCAGCGCGCGTCGCTCCGCATGCCCGTGAACTGCTCCGCCGAGTGGACGGCGAGGCCGTGCTCGACCTTGGAGATGGGCTGGTGCACGTAGCAGCAGCCGTTGCCCGGGACGCGCCGGCAGGCGCCGAAGACGGCCATGTGGCCAAAGTACTGGGACCCGAAGCCGTCGCGGCCGCTGGGCGTCCAGGCCATGACGCGCGGCGGGTCGTCGGCGACGACGACGGCTGCCGCCAGCAACGCTGCCAACGCGCGGGCTGCCTCCATGCCCGTCCGGCAGCCCGCTTGAAAGGGCATGCAACGATGTTGAGCGAGCACAGATGACGCGGCCGATCCACACCTCGAGTGCCTCTAGGCGCTCGTGCGGCTTCCACGCCAGGAGCGCCGCGTCGCACGATGATGCGACCACTGCTCCTGGCCGCCTGCGCCCAGGCGCTCCTCACGCCGAGCCCCGTGCGACCCGTCGCGACCCGCCTGCGCGCGCGGACCGCCGACGGCATGTCGAAAGGCTGGAAGGTGCTGCGACTCAGCGAGGAGGAGGGGAACGCCATCTCGCTCGCGGCGAACTCGAACGAGTGGGGCACGAAAGAGATCGAGGTCGAGATCCCGCGGAGCGCCGAGTCGCCGGGCATCGGCATCCTGCTGGAGGAGTTTGGCGCGAACGACGCGGGCGAGGGACTTGACGCTCGTCGCCGGCCTCGTCGACGGCGGCAACGCGGCGCTGTCGGGGCTGGAGATCCTGCCCGGCGACGCGATCATCCGGGCGGACGGCGCCAACGTCGAGGGCCTGGGCTACGACCGCACGGTCGACGCGCTCGGCGCGATGGCGCCCGCGCCCGCGCCGGCGAGGCTCACGCTCAAGCGCCTCCTGAAGATCCCCAAGGTCGCGCTCACGGTCATGTTCCCGCCGGAGGAGAACGAGCCGAACCGCGTCATCAACTGGTACCCGCGGCGCGGCCTGCGGGAGACGCTCCTCGTGAACAAGATCGACGTCGGGGGCACGTGCACCGAGGACATGCAGTGCCTGCTGCGCTGCTCCTGCGTCGTCCGCAAGGGCCGCGCGCTCCTCGAGGACTGGGGCATCCAGGAGAAGCAGATGCTCGAGAAGAAGGAGCCGGACTGGCGCCTCACGTGCCGCGCGTGCCTGCCCCCCCTCGAGGAGGACGGCGAGATGACGATCCGCATCCGGCCGGACACGGAGAACGTCCTCCGGCGCAAGGGCGGCGCGTACGAGTACAAATTCAAGATGTAGCGCTAGAGCGCCGTCAGGGACGCCGCGCGCTCGCGCGTCGCGTTGAGCTTGAGGTTGCGGAGCGAGCCCCGGAGGAGCGCGTTCACGGAGCTCGCGACGGACGCGTCCTCCGCGTCCTCGCCCTCACCGGGCTCCCGGCGGCGCTGGACGAAGACCGTGGCGTCGCCCCAGGTCTCGCGCATGAAGCCCTTCCAGCGGAGCTCGAAGCGGTCGCTCGGGAGCGCCGTCGTCGTCGTCACGAAGTACGTCCCCGGCGCGAGCGCGGCCGCGCGGTCCGCGAGCCGCGCCATGAGCGCCTCGTCGAAGCACGTCGAGTTCGCGAAGACGACGCGCGCCTCGGCCCAGTCGAGCACCGTCGCGTCGCCGAGGACGAACTCGACGTCGCAGTGCTGGCGGCGCTCCGGCATGACCTCGTGCCGCACGTGGGTCTCGAACCGCGGCAGCAAATCGTCGGCGTTGATGGCGTGGAGCCGCTCGAGGATCTCGATGCCCACGACCTTGTCGAAGTCGTGGCCGATGGCCGCCGCGAAGACGGCCTTGCCCGCGCCGCAGCCGACGTCGACGAAGACGCCGCCCGGCCTTAAACCGTCCTCCAACAGGACCCCCAGCAGCGCCACGAAGGGCTCGTACTCGACCTCGCCGTAGACGAGCGACGAGTGCGTGAACTCGTTCTCCTCCCGCGCGAGGCGGCTCGCCTTCTTGCCCAGCGTCTTGGGCCAGGGGGCGTACAAATGCTTGAAGAGCTTGTGGCCGGCGCTGCTCTCGAAGCCCTCGCGCTCCGCGGGCGCGCGCTCCGCGAGGTAGGCCTGGTGGTCGCGGATGTCCGGCACGACGGTCGCCTTGATCTGGTCGATGCCGGCGACCTTGAGCGCCGCCATCGTCTTCGAGCGCGCTGGGCCAACGGCAAAGGTGCCGTCCGCACCGCCCGACGTTGACCCTCGAAAGCCGCCCGACCGGCTGCGGATACCGGGAAAGTGAATAAAGCAGTGCAAACCAAGGGGGTACCACATAGGGATGATGCAAACCAAGGCGGTGAACCCAAAGTGAATAAGCCGCTCTCGGGCAGCCCGAGCCACAGAATCGCCTGCAAACGCTGAAGTCTTTGCTGATTTCGACAGCAAACGCTCCAACGCTCTCGCCTAAGCAGAGCTCCATCCTGCGGCGTCGGCTGCGTTCGACGCTAGTGCACGTTTTTGCGAGCGCATTCACGTTCCGTGGCTCCAAATCCGTCCGATGATGTCGCGTCATCGTCGCGCCGTGCCGTCAGGTGCTGAAGCTGCTGCGGAACGCTGCGGGGCTGCTACGGGCTGCTCTCGAGCCGCGCCGTTGCTGGGGCGGCGCCAGCTCCGCGCGCAACGAGATGCATTCGTTGCGCGACGCAGCCCTCGAGCCGCGCCGTTGCTACGTCCGTGACGTGACGGCGAGACCTGAGCGCTGCGTCGACGGGCGGTCGGCGCGACAAGCTTTGGCGCGCTGCCGGCTCGACAAGCTTTGGGCGCCGACGTCTGCACAACGCGGCAGCTTGGGCCGCGGCCGCGCGCCGCGCGCTCCGGCGGACGGCGGCGCGCCACGTCCGCGTCCAGCGGTCTCGCGCGCTCCGCGGCGCGCTCGCGGCACTCGCCGCGGCGGTCGCGGCGCGCGGCCGCGGCGCTTGACGCGCGGCGCGGCGCGCAGCGCGCGGTCGCCGCCTGGCGCGCGCGCGCCGTCGGCGGCGAGCGGCGGCGCGCGGCCGCGGGCCGGCGCCGCGCGGCCGCGGGCCGGCGCCGCGCGGTCCTCGCGCGCGCGGTCGCGCGCGCGGTCGCGCGCGTCGGCGCCGCCGCGGCCGAGCGGGCCGCGGCGCGGCGTCGCCGCGCGGACGGCGCGCGCGCAGTCGCCGCCGCCTGGATCTCGGACGAGAGCCTTCGGGCCCGTGGCGGCCGCGGAGCGCGCCGCGCGCTGCGCGCTAGGTCGAACCACGGTGCCTTGGGCACCGCATCCGCTTCTGCCCCCGGTCGTACCCTTCGGGCGCGCGCCAGAGGCTCTAAATTACCCTCCTCCCCTTCGCCGCCCCTGCGGGGCAGCGATTTTTTTTTGGTGCGCCCCCCGGTATCCAACGCAAGCCCGCCCGACCGGCTGCGGATACCGGGAAAGTGAATAAAGCAGTGCAAACCAAGGGGGTACCACATAGGGATGATGCAAACCAAGGCGGTGAACCCAAAGTGAATAAGCCGCTCTCGGGCAGCCCGAGCCACAGAATCGCCTGCAAACGCTGAAGTCTTTGCTGATTTCGACAGCAAACGCTCCAACGCTCTCGCCTAAGCAGAGCTCCATCCTGCGGCGTCGGCTGCGTTCGACGCTAGTGCACGTTTTTGCGAGCGCATTCACGTTCCGTGGCTCCAAATCCGTCCGATGATGTCGCGTCATCGTCGCGCCGTGCCGTCAGGTGCTGAAGCTGCTGCGGAACGCTGCGGGGCTGCTACGGGCTGCTCTCGAGCCGCGCCGTTGCTGGGGCGGCGCCAGCTCCGCGCGCAACGAGATGCATTCGTTGCGCGACGCAGCCCTCGAGCCGCGCCGTTGCTACGTCCGTGACGTGACGGCGAGACCTGAGCGCTGCGTCGACGGGCGTCGGC